CGGCTCCTCGGCCGCCCGCCCCGGCCCTGGCCGCCGCGCAGAGCCTATTTTTAGGCCTGTGGGGCCGGGTGTCGGGGAAGCCGGAGCCGGGCTGGCGTCCCTGCGAGGTGGGAGGCCTCCGGGCCGCTCCACGAACCTGCCTGGAGCCTGGGAAACTCCGAGGTGACTGGTCCTTCCCTGTTGCTGAGGCCAGGAGCCAGGGTTATGACAGAGGTTGAACTGCAGCTAGACTATAGGTGCAACCCGGAGCTCTTCTTCAGCAAGCCTGAACTCCTGCCCCGCTGTCGTCGGTCTGTCCTGGTCACTTGTAATGTTTGCCGGGTCTGATGTTCTAGTCTGTGCTCCTAAGCATTTGTCCTGTCCCTTATTCATCTTGAGATCATCCATTCCTTGCTTCCTGAAATCCCTGAATCCGACTCACCTTATTAAACTTTTCTTCATCACCTCCTGGCATCTGGACTGCTTTTGTGGTAAAACATTCATTATGCCCAGATTAAGTACCCTTGGTGCAGATTAACTTTGAAATGCCTCATGAGGGTTGAAGATAATACAAGTAGAAGCAAGTAAGGGCAGAGGTTGATGGGCATGTCAAGTGACAGGTGTCATTGTTCTGAGCTTTAGTGGAGTGTGTGACTGGGAAGCTGTGGCCCTCCAGGGGTGGGGAACACCCGTCTTTTACAACTTAGTAGATGGCCTGCCCTGGAAGAGAGCCCAACAAAACGTATGGTGGCGGCTCTCAGGTCAGCAGCTAGGGCCTGTGTTGGCCCATTCGACAGCCTACAACTCCTCTCACTTCTCAGTGGAATTTTGGTTGCCTCCTGCCTCCATGTTGGAAAGTGGGCTGGGGACAGTGAGGAAACCCAGGACAGAATGTGAATTCATGACAAAATGTCCTAACTCCTTGGTTGGGCAACAGTGTCCCAAGTGACCCCTGCCAGAGGTTGATCCTAAGTGTCCTATACATTTGGATGCCCACCAACTTCCTAATCTTAAAATCCCCTTGGAGATGGAGTGTGCCCCAGAATTGTTCCAGGGAAGGACTGGAGAAATCCTAAAGGATAGGCTGGTTGTCTTGGGAGGCTGGGGATTGTCCAGTAGGAAGAATAATCCATGTGTTTGCCTTCTGTTATGGCAGCTAAGTGCTTATTAGACATTGGTGTGTATGTGTCTGTGGGTCTTTGTCTGTTGGGGGGGACCAGGGCCAGGATACAGGGCACTGCTTGCTTCCCAAAGAAGAGGAGGCACAGGTTTGTTAGAGCTTGTGAGGTGCTCTCTAAATTCATTTAACAGTGATCGGTCTCTATTTAGATAAATTCATTTAACAGTGATCAGTCTCTATTTAGATAGAAGCATCAGGAGGGAGGTTGTCTCTGAGGAGGAGATATTTGAGCAGAGACTCAAGGTTGATAGGGCAGGAGAGCTTTTGCTACAGGTTGAGGAAATAGAAGTACAGAAAGCCTGAGGCATGCCATAAACATAAGCACCAGGGTGAAGAATATGGCCTCTGATATCAGGCTGTCTTCATTGAGGTTGGCAGTTGAACTTGTACCTGGATGAAAATACTGTTTTCAGTACCTTGTAGAAGGAACAGGAAATGCACTTCGTGATTTCTTCATTACCACCTGTTAATTGCCAGAGGTCCACCCTCTGGATTTTAAGCTATCTTTTGGTCTGAGAATTTAGGTGTCCAATCTGTAAATGGGATTTAATTTTTATAGTTCAATCAGCCTCTTGAAAGTTGCCAGACATTCCTGCTCAGCTGTAGTCTTGAACCATTCTTGAAGTGGGTACTTGGGTTTTCCCCCCAAAGAGGCTGCTGCTTTTATTAATAGCACAGGTTTATCTCAGAGGAACTGATTTTGCCAAATTACTGTTTGCAAGGGATTCTGGGGAAAAGACCTTTTCCAGATGTTGTACTGAGTGTGTTTTTTTTTTCTTCTTTGCATTAAGATCAGGCCTTTGTGACACTGACCACAAACGATGCCTACGCCAAAGGTGCCCTGGTCCTGGGCTCATCTCTGAAACAGCACAGGACCACCAGAAAGCTGGTCGTGCTCACCACCCCTCAGGTCTCGGACTCTATGAGGTGAGGACAGCGTTTGTCCATGGGGCTGTGACATCATTACCCTGTTTCTGGCATTAGTGGGCGTGAATGCTACACTTTTTTCAGGAGTTGAGAACTGGCTAGAGAAAGATAAGAGTTACTGAGTGAAGGATTCATGGGTCTAAAACCTCTTCCTAGCTTTTGGAAGATATTTCAGCTAAGCTTCGGGGAAGCTCTGGCCCACACTCTTCCTGATTCCAACTAGGAGTGGAAGAAGGACTCTCTTTTTTCCAAGTCCTCTCTGGGCGATCTGAGTGTTTCAGTCCAGGCATTCCCTGCTTAAATACACCTTCATGTAATCACGGTTCACTTGCACTTCTTTCCCAGAATACAGCAATACATTGTTTCCTGTTTTAAACCAGGGAAACCCTCAGGTGACTTTGAAATAAAAGCAGCTATTTTATCCATATTTGTAACCTAAGGGTCTTTATTTACGATATAATTCACTAGAATCTTTACTAAAGGGCTTTCTGAACCAGTGTTTTGCTAGGGAAAGCACCCTGAGGGGCACAAGCTACCTATGGATTGGGTTAGTTTGCTTTGATTTGTTGGAATTAAATTTTGAAGTATCAGCATGAATTACCTAGTTCCTAATACTAACTTTAAAAATATCTGGACATACTGGAAGCTTTGTGTTGTGTTTATTTGTGCAGTCTCCTAGTCCTCTTAGAAATTGAAAACACCTTTTTTGTGACTTTTCAAATAGCATAAGCACAGACCAAGAGCCTCTGAAAAGTGGGTATTACATACACATGTATCTATCACACTAACAACGTTATTCCTCAGTGGTAATTTAGGAAGATGCCAAAAAGGCTGTTTTCTAATGTATATGTCCTAATTTATAGTCTATTAGTGAGGATGTATGTAAGAAACTAGTTTTAGTCTTAGATTCTCCCACCCACCCACCACCACCACCAATTTATTATGGTCAATAGTTCCCCTGACCATTTTTCCCCAAAAATATCATGTTTACTGTGTGAATTAGAACATATTTTTGTGCAGCTTTAGAGACAAAAACAATACCAGTTTTGTTCTGCATGGCTGACATTGTTATAAACTTTTAATGATGATACGTTTTTAACATATGTTTTTCCTTATATTGAATTTAGTGTCTTACTCAAGTCTGCTCCACTAACCTACCTTAAGAGCTTTCTAAAATAAAACATAGGGTCATTTTGGGCATGGAGAGGTGTTGTACCTCACAAACCAAAGTGAGTCGTCATGCCCAAATAGAGTGCTAAGCACATAATGGCTATATTGGATTCTAAAAAATGGCAACCTAATAATTGAGCCCCTTAACTTCTTTTGGGACACAGAGCTTCCAACAGCTCTGAGTCAATTGCTTTAGCAAAAGAGATTCATTATAAGCTTCACTGCAGATGTTATATGCACATTACTAGGCATTGTTTATAAAAATATGCAGTAGTCAACAAGAGTCAATTCTAATAAAATATCATTGTCAAATACATAGGATATTGCAAAGATGTACTCTTTTGCTAAATGTTAGTCATATTTTTACAAGCTATTTCCATAGCCTGCCTGGTATTCAATGATACAATTAAAAAAAAAAAAATAGAAAACCACTTCTATAATGTTTTAAGACAAGCATTTCATCCTCCCCATAAGCAGTTCTTATTACTTTAATGAAGCTAACTGCACATTCAAATAAACACAATTTGTACTGAAGTAAATTAAGACAGATTTAAGGGGCTCACTTGTTCTGAAAAGATGCCAAGTAGTGTTTTCTGAATTTTATTTTGATAGAAAAGTTTTAGAGACAGTCTTCGATGAAGTCATCATGGTAGACGTCTTGGACAGTGGCGATTCTGCTCATCTAACCTTAATGAAGAGGCCTGAGTTGGGTGTCACACTGACAAAACTCCACTGCTGGTCACTTACACAGTATTCAAAATGTGTGTTCATGGATGCAGATACTCTGGTAAGTGTGGCTTCAAGGGCTGAAAAGATGTATGAAGACGTGCTAGGCATTTGAGGAACATTGTCAAGACTTGATAGTGAAATTCAGATAAAACCACTGTTGCAAAAGTTGTCAGGTGATGGAGAGTGGGCCCAGGCTGCCTTAGGCTGTCGTCATCTTTCGTGTTGGATAACAGAGGGAGAACTTAAGAAAGGTATTGTGCAGTAAAACATTTCTGTAATGCTTTTTCTCCCCTTTAAATCAGGTCCTAGCAAATATTGATGATCTTTTTGAGAGAGAAGAATTGTCCGCAGCACCAGACCCGGGGTGGCCTGACTGCTTCAATTCCGGAGTCTTTGTTTATCAGCCTTCAGTTGAAACATATAATCAGCTGTTGCACCTTGCTTCCGAGCAAGGTAGTTTTGATGGTATGTATCTGCTGTCTTCATATGTGATCAACTATAAGTAACTTCTAGGGGCCGCTTTTCTCAGGGATATAATTGCTGTGGTTTCTTGTGCGTGGAAGATACATGAGATGTAGCAAGCATTTTAAGTTGTGCTGTTTGGGGAAATACTGTTGTATGTTTGTGTGTGTACATGCATCTTTTTTCCCTATAGATGCATAAGATTATATCAAACTAAAGTAGGCAGTTTTACAGGCCTACCTTTAAATGGCCTTCCTGTATCTAAATTAGAGTTTGATAAATATACTATGATTATTAAAAAATAAGAAAAGACTGGCCAATGAGTAAAAAATTTAGCATCTGTCTTTAAACCTGAGTAAACTTAAGCTGAAGAGGGTTTGACAGTTGTTGCTAACAGTAACTATGCATTGTCTCCGTGGAAACTCAAGGAATAAGCCTGATGATTTGGCTCTCAGTCTCTCAGGAAACATTAAAAAGAAGATACAAGGTTTATGTGAATAATCTATGCTACCAAGCACTCATTTTCTATAAGGCTGTGCATCAGTTAGAATAGTATCTGCAAGGCCAAAGAACAGAACATTGACAAAGTCAGCATCCATTTTCTATAATGTATAAGTGCACCTGCAGCTTTGTTATATGTATATAAATGTTCTGACGATCTGTGATATAAGGCTTCACATCCTTTGGAGAATTTTGATCAAATGAATTAGTAGGCATGCTTCAATTTTAGGCCAGCCTCTAAAATAATTAATAGTAAGCCATTTTTTTTAAAGACAATAACAAGAAAAACACAAGACAAAACCAATAGCTAATATGCCAAAACAGTTCTTTTTAAAATTATTGTTGATGGTTCTTTTCCATATAAGACAAGACCCAGTATGAACAGGAAGAAGGACATGCTCTAAGAAGCCCTCCAGCAGTGACTGACTGTCAGATAGTTGACACTGTGGCCAAAGCTCGGGCAGGGAATGTGGGGATGGGCTCTGCAGCACATGCTTACACCAGGGGCTTATTTCCTCCTCCTCCCCTCTCCAAGAGCAGATATAGGATTTGCAGTGACTAGATCTTTTGGAATTAGCAGAAAGAGCCTTTCTTAATTGACATAAGATTTAGTCCTGGGTACAGATATGAGGGTTCATTTTTATTAAAGTTATATTTAAGTTAAATATAAAATCTTAAACTTTTTAAATTAAAATATTAAATGTAAAAGTTTGTTAGTTGCTGAAGTTAAGATATGGGAACATTTCAAAATTGAGATTGGGTTTTTGTTGTTGCTGTTCACAGAAATTGAATTGTTGAGTTATTTGCCTGAGGATTTGGGATTTGCAGCTATTTGAAATGTCATTGAAAAGAATAAGGAGGTTTAAGTTTCAATCTTGTTTCACTGGCTACTTTATACTCTAAGGCTGTAATTCTCAACCAGGGACTATTCCTCCCCCCCCCCCCCCCCCCCCCCAGGGACACTTGGCAATGTCATGAGACGTTTTTGATTGTCACAGCTGAGGGGGAGGGTGCTACTGAGTAAAGGCTAGGGGGTATGAATGTACATCCTATAGCAAACAGGACAGCCTCCCACAACAAAGGGTTATCTAGCCCAAAATGTCACTAGTGCTGAAGTTGAGAAACTCTGCTCTATGCTAAGGTATTACATGCTTTATTTTTTTATTTTTTTATTTTTTTCCCTTTTTGTCTCTTTTTTACTGACCGGTAATGGGATCGCAACCCTTGGTGTTGCGCCCGCACCGCGCTCAGCCAGTGAGTGGGAACCGGTCTCCACATGGGATCCGAACCCTTGGTGGGAGTGCCGCCGTGATCCCAAGCGGCACTCTCCAGTGCGCCACCGGGCCGGCCCAGGTATTACATGCTTTAAAACAGAGCAAGAACGTCTGAGTTGTGGCGGTATCTGACAAGAAATGCCATGTCATTTTAAGCAAACTTAAGTAAGAAAATAAGGTGCTAAATGTTCACCTTGGGGCCGGCCCAGGTATTACATGCTTTAAAACAGAGCAAGAACGTCTGAGTTGTGGCGGTATCTGACAGGAAATGCCATGTCATTTTAAGCAAACTTAAGTAAGAAAATAAGGTGCTAAATGTTCACCTTGGTCAAAGCAAAATGAAACTTCTTCCTTTTACTGATGTGTTTTAGAGCCTACTATTTTCCTTTTGTATGAGGAATGAAAGCTGTATTAGTATTCAAGTTCAAAACATGTATTCCTTATTTCTATCACTTATACCAAAACAGTTACTTTTGCATAAGAAGAAGATGAGAGTATTTTTAGGAGAAGTCCAATTGTCTGTCTGAACCTTCCCACCAGAGGGTAGGTTTCTTCACTTCCTCTCCTCTAATTTGAAGGAAGTAAGTGTAATCCTGCCAGAAATTCACTGTAATTATTCTCAACTTCAGTAAGTGAGTCACATTCTAAAGAAGATCTTACGGCCTGCAGTGGTCTGAAATCCTCATGATTTTGATCATGTAAAGAGAATCCAGTTTCTAACCTACAATAGTGTTAGATATTGTTGTTGAGAGATAAGAATTTGGATTCCAAACAGTGGTGTGTCATAGTAAATTATCCAGGTTACAGTTTTAGAATATGAAACTAATTAACTAGCAGGGACCAACCTGGGCCATCTACTCTGTTCTAGAATCTAGAGAGAGGCACTGGAGGAGTTGATGAATTTGTTATTAAGAAGCCTAAATGTGTGCAAAGTGCTCAACTGCAAAGCACTTTCTGCTTTTGCAACCAGAATCTAGAGCCACTGTGAGATTGCCTGTGCCTGCTAGCCCATCTCATGATTCAGCAGCAGAGTTTTCAGGCACGGGCTTCCTCTGAGGTGTTCCACTTACTGGCTCACTGGTGGTGAAGGATTGAATTTTCTGTGTTAATAGAAATGCTCAATTCAAAGAGGTAAAAAGTCAGCTCTGCAGATGAGAACTAACTATAGTTAGTTCAGTATGTTTAAATTCAGTGGAAGAATAAACTAGCAGCTCTTAAATGAAAGTTTGTTTTCACTTTCAGTGTGTTTACTAAACTTTACTCAGCAAAGAAAGCTCACTCCGTATCTTGGGAGCCCGTTCCTTTTTTGAGGGGTTTACTGTCCACTTGAAGTAGTCCACGTGTGACATAAGGACCTAGAGAACTTACACTTGATAGCAATAAATATTTCTTTTATGAACAACATCCTTGTCTAATGGCAGTAACCTTGCTTTGCATCGAGGTTTCAATTCATTATATCACATAAAAATCATAAATGTAATAAAAATAATTTTAAAAATTCATAGTAAGAATTATATAAAAAATAAGTTTGTTTAGGTGTCATGTCATAGGCACTCAGGCAGACATTTTCAGCTGTTTCTTTCAACGTTAAGTACGTTTCTAATATCCACAGGTTTCCTCGACCCCCCTCAATTTTATGAGCAGGGACTCAATTTTTAGATCTATATTACGGAAGGCCAGCTTTGCAAATGACTATCTCAGTATCTTGCAAGTCCTGCTTAATCTCTTGCCTGTGTTCAACAGAAACTGATGGGGTGTAGTGTCCACTGACATGCCACACAGGTCGCTGATGGCTGAGTATTTGCAGCTGCTTTCACAGCCCTTCTAATGCAAAAGAATGCGCTTGTCATTCTTCTGATCACCAGCCCTCTAATCACATCTCACCCTATCCCACCCCACCCCACTCAGTACCTCTGGCCAAGAAAATAATCCTAATATGGCAAACCATGCTTGGTAGCCTGACTTCTCTTTCATTTCCAAATATCTGGAGGTATTAGAATTTAGAACTAGTGACTACATATCTAAATCATGGCTCGTAGCTAATTTTCCATAGTGAAGATTCTGAGTTCTTATACTGTTGTTTGTATTTTTCAAGCTGTCTTGGCACTTACTTCATCACTGAAGTTACATGTTTCCTGAAAAGTTGAACAATAGCTGTTGTGAAATAGTTATACACTAGCATTTTATAAGATATGACAAAATAAGGTTAACTTCAAAATTTGTTAACAGTAAGAAGGGAAGAGAGAGGTAATGATATAATAATTTTGTCTCTTCTGCATACTCATGTGAAATGAAACTGATGTACTTGACTCTTCATTTGAAGAAATCAATCTGAACACAAATTGAGGTTTTCTTTTCCCTGTGACTCTAAAGTATTGTATATTAAGGATTCTCATACAGCTGAAGACAAGAGTTTAGTGTTTGAAAATTGCTGTCTATTAAATTTCATCTCTATGTGTTAGTTTCAAAAACATAAGTCAGAGGAATTCATATTTTCTAAGTGGTCATTGAGACCCTTAAACAGAGCACAATAGTGTTTTCAAATGGTTTTTAGCAGAAAAGATTTGGTGCTAAATCCTATTAAAGTGTAAAATTGACCCCATCTTCCCTAATCTTTGTAGTTAATTAGGCTTCATGCTGGACCTGCCCAAAAAAGGAATGAAGGACCGAGGTGTTTCAAGATACTACTTGTCTTGTCCAAACCAAATAAGCTTAAAAGTTCAGGTGTGCCTCCTCGGTTCCCTGACTCGATAGGTCCTGCCCTGACAGCTACTTTCCGAGGTAGGCCTTCCCCACCTGCCCACGCACTAGACCTGGTGCCCTTGGAGTGTTTTATCAGTTGCTTTGAAAATGACTGTTCTCTTGCACTTACATCGTTGATTGTTTAAATAATCTTAAAGAAGTAAAGATGAAAAGCTAGAGTTATAATGTGTAATGGCAAAATAAATGAGCACACATAAGTTTTCTCAAGCTATTTTTATCTCATTGTACCCTTGAGTTTTTTTTTTTAAACTTGTTTTTGTCTCTAGCTTTGTAACCAGCAGAGGTCATGAACCCTGTGAGAAACAGAGAGGAAAGAAGGGACTAATGTGTTATGTGTGTGCAGGTTATTATGGTAGTCATTTTACTTATTTTTCACTTCTTTCTCCACAAACCTGTAATGTAGGCATTTGTGCATTCATTCATTTAACAAATATTTATTGAGGGCTTGCTATCTAACTAGTACAG